GCAAAACAAAAGCGATGCGGTATTATCCAAGCTACTAAATGATGTTGTCAAAGTTATAGCTCATCGTCTAAGTTTCTGAGATAGCGGCAATTTTATGTTTCTCAATGGCAGTTACGCCCCCTAGCGGTCGAATTACGAACTTCAAAATAATTTCCAGCTATTTCTCTTGGTCACTTTGCTTATACAGATTTTTTTCCCAAACCTCTAGGCCTTACCGTTGTCGAGATACAGCCGCTCCGTACGCTTAACGGGACACCCTGTATTTGTATTTTATGTAATTCATCAACCATCTGTGATAATGTTACATCTTACTTAGCTGGTTTGCGTTTAAAGCTGGACATGAAAAGTATTAACCACTTTTATTAATACAATTATTAAAACAAATTATGTTTCATAAAATATTCAACAACATCTTTTAATCTTTCAATATAAACGTCTTGATTTTTTATGACCATTGTAAAAGCTTCCATCGCATTGCTTTCTGTGGTCATAAGGTTAGGTATTTCATCTTTGTCGAACAATAAAACTTTAAGTACACACAAAGCCATGCACAATCCGTAAAGTGAAAAGTTTCGCCAATGTTTTATAAAAATTTCGCGGGGATAAACTTTATTTGGATCGCTTCCCAATTCGGCGATTCTTTGGGTTAAAGTGTCGTAGTAAAAGTTGAGATAAAATTCGGCGTTGTCAAGTTCTTTTTTCGTTGCTAATGTGTAGAAGAAATACGAAAAATCTAGGAGTGGTGAAGATAATCTTTGACACTGCCAGTCGATTAATTTGACATTAATTGGTGTATTGGTTTCTTCCTAAAACGTAAAATAATGTAATTAGATTTAATTTTAAAATAATTACTTACATCATAAAGAAACATCATGTTGTTAGACCAACAATCTCCTTGCCCCAGTGCTGAATATTCATCAACATTATCTACTAAGTCATCAAAAAATTGAAGCAATTTCTCGTCTAAATTTTTACAACGTTCCAACATTTCCTGATCCATTTTTTGATCTAAACTATTTAAAAATTGATTCAAACATTGCTTTATCATGGTATCCATTCCAAATTTTTTATAATTTTTGCTGAAGACATCTTCAACCCCAGCAGTTAATTTCTTAAAATTTTCAGGTTCTTGATCTTTCATAGCGTAAGAAATAGCGTGATACCTAGCGAAAGCTTCTATTGGTAATCTTAAATGAGCATCGTCGATAATTTTCTTTCTATCTCTTAAAGTGTATCCTAAACTTCGTAAATTTTCCAACACAATCGGTTTGATATCGTCATTATTTAAATTAACTTTAAAATATTTTGGTACGTTATCAAAAGGATTCTTTATGTGTTTACTTTTTTGAAATTTATCAAGAACCGGATAAATTTCACCGTAGAATTGATGCTCAGCATTATAAACACTTTGAAGCGTATCAATCCAGTCCTCTTTAACTACATCGAGTAAATATTTTATAAAAAGATTTAACGAATCGTTACGATTTTTATCTTTAATTGTAACCGCGTACGTTTTTGATGAATAACCGTCACCTTCTTGAGAACCTTCACTTATACTTATTTCCGGAGGGGTTTTGTAATTTCCTTGATCAATTATAAAATTAATTGCGTTTTGAACCGGACCACTTAATTGAGATTTCATTTCAACTTGTTTTGAAATTTAATAAGAGAATTTGAAGTATGAAACGATTTTTCAATCATCTCGACTTATATAGTGTGATATCGCGTTGAAGTAGGGGAACAGATTGTAATCAGTGTAATGACAAATAAAATGATACTGTGTAAATGATTTGCGTATTTCAAGGATTTTTGATAAAGTCTCTAGGATTTATTATTTTCAAAGAAGTACTGAAATAAATTTGGAATGTTTCATAGATAAAAATTGAGATAATGATTTGCGCTTTTTGCACGAATATTTTATTGGATATTTATTTGTATTGCTTAATTTTTCGTAATAAAAACGAGAAGAAATTCGAAACAATTTTAGAGCGTAAAATAGAGATTAACCTTGACCATTTTATACACGCGTAATGTTGTGTAATCATTGAGTACTTAAGAATTTTATGCGCATTATTCTAGGAATTATTTGACTTGTTTAAATATGAAGTGTTCTTTATTATGATAATTTTTATTATTGAATATCTTGATTCATTACTCTCTCGCATTAATGCATCTTTTAGATTAAAATATGTATCCACGGTATGAAAAATAGAAATGATAATGATTCTTAAAACATAAAAACATTCAGAAAAACACAATTTTCACAATGTTAATACTCTAAAATACAATCGATATAATATTGCGTAACACATAACAATAAAAAGAAACTACAGTGTGTTAATTATCGTACCCGACGTCATTATTGCAAGTATGCAACCAATATCACAGTATTTTTATTGCAATACGCGATTTGCGTATGATGCATATTACACTGTGATATTGGTTGCATACTTGCAATGATGACGTACAGTAATAAAATTGTTCAATTTGCCTTAAATCACGGCGATTGTTGGACCAATAATATCGTCGGTATACAAGAGAATGTGACCAAGTCCAAAATTTTAGATTTTTAGGTTTCAATGCTCATGTACCGGAAATTCAATATTATTTTTCTGGAAAAAATGAACAAGTCCAAAAATGCCATAATAATGCTTATAATTTCAAATTCCATAATGACCAAGTCCATTTTGTAAAAACCTGTACAGGAGAAAATGACTAAGTGGACTTAGTCATGTTTTCTTGTCAATATTTTTATCTCTAGGATTTGACTTAAATTAAGATAGCCATGCATTATGCTTAACGAAAAAAAAACGAGAGAAAAGATACAGAAATATGATGTGACAGACAGGGAAAAGAGAGTGACGTTTGAAGTTTAAACAGTTTATCATAACAATTATTACTTAAATCAAAATAAAATTGTATTCTATGTTATTAGACTTAATCTTTGGTAACTATCTACACGTATTACAATAATTTTGTTTTTCGGATATTTAGTTTTAAAAAATAATAAGCTATAATGCAATAATACCTTATTTTAGTGGCAAAATGAGTTGTTCGAAAAATTATTATAACAACGCACAAGAAATTATTAATGATCTTAGGGATGTTCCGGTAGAATTTGCTACTAATTCTAGTAATACAAGCCATACGACTTTAATAATAAATGAACCACTAGTAAATCCTACGCAAGTTATAGAAAAACGCAGATGGGTAATAAAAAATCCTCAAGGAACAAAACGTGAGAAAAACAAGTTATTAAAAAAATCGTGTTTAGCGTATATTAATACTAAAGGCAAACAAATGCCTGCAAAGTCCCCTAGAAATGTAAATTGTGACAATTGCCGCTACAAATGTACAGAAGTATTTCCTGCAGATCGTCGACAAGATATCTGTAAACAGTATCACAGTCTATCCTATGACAGACAAAAGGACTTTATAATTAATACCGTTGCAACTTCTGAATGCCAAAGAAAACGAACGAGGGACTCTAGTAGACATGAAAAAAATGTCTCTAAAATTTATACATTTGTTAAAAACGGAGAAAAGAAAAGAGTTTGTAAAAATTTTTACTTAAAAACCTTGTCGATAAGTCATGGACCGGTTGATTCTGCTATAATGAACACAAATGGAATAAATCATTCAATTCAAGATCGACGAGGAAAAAGTTTCCCAGGAAATAAAACTAAACCTGTCATTTTGAATGAGGTGAAGAGACATATAGAATCATTTCCTGTGATGGAATCACACTATTGTAGACGTGGAACTACACGGAAGTATCTTGACTCTACCTTATCCATTCTTAAAATGTATGAATTGTACAAAGATTTACAGATCAGCAATCAAAAGGATTTTGTTTCTCCAATAACATATAGGAGGGTGTTTTGTACGCAGTATAACTTATCTTTCTTCAAACCAAAGAAAGATCAATGTTTGCTGTGTGTTAAAGAAGGTAAATCTATTGAAAAATCAGAAGAATTTCTTTCTCACATAAAGCGAAGGGATGATGCTAATAGAGCAAAAGATTTAGATAAACAAAGAGCAATTCATGACAAAACTTTTGTATTAGTAAGTTTTAACTTACAGAGTGTCCTGCAAATTCCTTGCTCCGATGTATCACCTCTCTGAATATTCATCAACATTATCTACTAAGTCATCAAAAAATTGAAGCAATTTCTCGTCTAAATTTTTACAACGTTCCAACATTTCCTGATCCATTTTTTGATCTAAACTATTTAAAAATTGATTCAAACATTGCTTTATCATGGTATCCATTCCAAATTTTTTATAATTTTTGCTGAAGACATCTTCAACCCCAGCAGTTAATTTCTTAAAATTTTCAGGTTCTTGATCTTTCATAGCGTAAGAAATAGCGTGATACCTAGCGAAAGCTTCTATTGGTAATCTTAAATGAGCATCGTCGATAATTTTCTTTCTATCTCTTAAAGTGTATCCTAAACTTCGTAAATTTTCCAACACAATCGGTTTGATATCGTCATTATTTAAATTAACTTTAAAATATTTTGGTACGTTATCAAAAGGATTCTTTATGTGTTTACTTTTTTGAAATTTATCAAGAACCGGATAAATTTCACCGTAGAATTGATGCTCAGCATTATAAACACTTTGAAGCGTATCAATCCAGTCCTCTTTAACTACATCGAGTAAATATTTTATAAAAAGATTTAACGAATCGTTACGATTTTTATCTTTAATTGTAACCGCGTACGTTTTTGATGAATAACCGTCACCTTCTTGAGAACCTTCACTTATACTTATTTCCGGAGGGGTTTTGTAATTTCCTTGATCAATTATAAAATTAATTGCGTTTTGAACCGGACCACTTAATTGAGATTTCATTTCAACTTGTTTTGAAATTTAATAAGAGAATTTGAAGTATGAAACGATTTTTCAATCATCTCGACTTATATAGTGTGATATCGCGTTGAAGTAGGGGAACAGATTGTAATCAGTGTAATGACAAATAAAATGATACTGTGTAAATGATTTGCGTATTTCAAGGATTTTTGATAAAGTCTCTAGGATTTATTATTTTCAAAGAAGTACTGAAATAAATTTGGAATGTTTCATAGATAAAAATTGAGATAATGATTTGCGCTTTTTGCACGAATATTTTATTGGATATTTATTTGTATTGCTTAATTTTTCGTAATAAAAACGAGAAGAAATTCGAAACAATTTTAGAGCGTAAAATAGAGATTAACCTTGACCATTTTATACACGCGTAATGTTGTGTAATCATTGAGTACTTAAGAATTTTATGCGCATTATTCTAGGAATTATTTGACTTGTTTAAATATGAAGTGTTCTTTATTATGATAATTTTTATTATTGAATATCTTGATTCATTACTCTCTCGCATTAATGCATCTTTTAGATTAAAATATGTATCCACGGTATGAAAAATAGAAATGATAATGATTCTTAAAACATAAAAACATTCAGAAAAACACAATTTTCACAATGTTAATACTCTAAAATACAATCGATATAATATTGCGTAACACATAACAATAAAAAGAAACTACAGTGTGTTAATTATCGTACCCGACGTCATTATTGCAAGTATGCAACCAATATCACAGTATTTTTATTGCAATACGCGATTTGCGTATGATGCATATTGCACTGCCTATATCGATCAAGAAGAAAAACGATTTAATTCAACTTTGCCGTAAGGGGGTAATTCCGATCGAATACCATGGTTGGTACTTTGACATACCGAGTGACAATTCCTTGAAAGACAAGTGTCCAGAACCCTCACACAATGAATATAGTGATGAAGACATATGAAGTTGAAACTAGTTACTACTACTTGTTTAATTATAGTCTTTTTTAAGTTTAAATACATATTCTAGAATCTGCATTGTTCATAGAAACCATTACAAACCTATGCAGTTGAAATGAGTTACTGGTTTAGTATTTGCTTAAATTAATTATAGACTTTTTTAATTTAAAATACATATTCTAAAAACTATATTATTTATAAACATCATTATAAACTAATCTCACGTAAAATAATTAATTTTATAATAAGAAGCAAAAATTAGAATACTAATAACTCAAAACCACTATCTGTGGACTTAGTCACTTTCTCTTGTATACCGACGATATGATGTTTCTTTTTGACGTAAGTTTCTCAATTATTTTATAATTAATCATTTAATTTTATTTATTTATTAAAGGATAACACCGGATTACCAATTGACATAAGAATTATTGATTGGCAAACTCAAAGGTTAGCATCACCACTTCTAGATTTTTCCTATTTTTTTTATACATTCGTTCAGAAAAAAGCATTGGACCAAGCAAAAATGTATTTAGATTTTTATTATAAGAATTTATCGAAAAGAATCGACGAATTGGGGAGTGATGCCAAAAAAATGTATCCATACGAGATTTTTATAGAACACTGGAAAAAATTTGCCCGTAATAAAAGCACCTAGTCTAATTGAAGGTGGATCTTGCTCTGGATTTGTAATCATTTTGAAACACCAAGATGTTTATATTCAAAGAATTCCTGATTTGGTTCAACATTTTATTGAAAATAAATTATTGTAAATTAAATTAGTTCTTAAGAATGTTAATAAAATATTGTTTTGATGTTGTCGTTTTGAATATCATGCCGTTAAGTTGGTTGCGCTAGTGGATAGAAACATTTCGACATCTACCGAAGTGTACCCGATTAACACTCTCATATTTAACATAGTTAGTGACAAAATTCTGCGTTTCACCAGATTATCGTTATAATCAGAATACTTAGACATAGCTTTTTTCGTTGTCTAATAACGCTGACTTTATATCCTTATGCAGAAATTTCTAGCGAGATAAAGAAGATCAATAGAAAATGAAAAGAAGAGTTATCAAATGAAGTGAAGGATTCAGTTTGTGTTTAATAGCATGATAATATTAATAAAAGACGAGATACTGTTTTCATAAGAATAGGACTTGCAGAAAACTACATTCTGCTGTCAGAAAACTAAATATTGATGGTAGAAGAGTAAATACTGATGGCAGAAGTGTAAATATTGCCGGCAGATGATTATATAGTGTCAATAGAAGTTAAGACAACGTCAATAGAAAACTAAATATTGTTTGCAGAAGAATAAAAACTGTTGGCAGAAGAGTAAACACCGCTGGCAAAATATTTTACAAACACGGGTGTTAATAAAAGACTAAATAGTGTTTATTAAACACTAGGAGACTAAACACTACTGGTAGAAGAATAAATACTGTCGGCAGACCAGCAAATACTGAAGACGGAAGACTAAATACTGCTGGCAGAATATTACATAATCTTAAAAGAAGTTAACATAGCGTTAATAGAAGACTAACTACTGTTTACATAAGAAGACTAAATACAACCTAAGGTAGTCTATATACTGGTGGTAGAAGGCTATAAATCTTGTATACAGGGTGAGTTATTAGTATCCCGGTGGTCGATAGTTACTAAACCGTTTGAAAAACAAAAAAATATTTTATACAAAAGTTGTTTTTCAGTTATTTTCACTTATACAGCGTGTTCCATTTAAGCGTAACGAGAGTACGTAAATTTATTTAAATTGAACACCCTGTATATTTTATCATATTATAAATACAACTAAATTTGTTTATACAACCGTATATGTTACTATTTCACAGCGTTCCTAGTTCCTGAGATATTCAATTGTTCTTCCAAAATGTGCCTATTACAGGATCTTTTTGAAAACGATGTAAAAACGACAATTTTTCCAATTTTGCCTTGAAATTATATTAGACAATAGTCAAAGCCAGTAGGTAGATGATAGTATTCAAAGATATTAAATACACTATACGGGCTGTTTATAAAGCTTAGTTACTTTTGATGTTTTTCAAATGGCTTTTTCTTAAGTTTTTTAAATGAAACACCCTGTATATTGTGTGCTAGTTGAATTGCTCATCAAGTTCCCTTTAATTAGTGATAAATATGTCATATGTCTAACTTTAATAGTTTTCTGATATTTAGAATTTAAAGAAAAATTTGAAATAAAATGTCATTATTTTATTTAAAAAAGTGACAGAATGTAATATATTCTGTCCTTTTTTGTTACTTTTTTTCTTTTTTGTTTGTCTGTCATTTGGAAATCAGTAATATTATATTATAATACAATTTAAAAAAAAAAACTGATAAATAAATGATCAAAACGTGATAAAAATGCAAAAAATTCAATTAAATGGCAGAACAATAAATCCCTTTTTTAATTGTTACATTATTTGAAGGAAATCCAGCAACAAACTATAAACAATTACTAAACGTTGCTCAACAAGTTAGTATGCAACCAATATCACATTATTTTTATTGCAATACGCGATTTGCGTATGATGCGTATTGCACTGTGATATTGGTTGCATACTTACAATGATGACGTTGGGTACGATAATTAATTGACACACTGTATAGTTACTGCAAGAACAGATAATCGAGCTTTTATTTTTACTACATTATTTATTAAAAATTAAATTACAATAATCCATGATGTATAAAATACTCTAAAAGGTCTTTCAATCTTTTAATATAAACATCTTGGCTTTTTAAAACTACAGCGAAAGCTTCTGTTGGGGTTATTTCCGTATCCGGATTTAATATATTTGGAATTTCGTCTTTTTCAAACAATTGGATTTTAATGACTGAAAAAGCCATACACAATCCAAACTTTGAATATTTTCTCCAATGATCTCTAAATATGTGATAAGGAAAAAGATTTTCTGGATTACTTCCTAATTCGGCGATTCGTTGCGATAAAGTGTCGTAATAAAGTTTCAAGTAATATTCGGCGTTGTCAAGTTCTTTTTTCGTGGCCAATGTGTAAAAGAAATAAGAAAAATCGAAAAGTGGAGATGAAATCCTTTGACATTGCCAATCTATTAATTTTACGTCGATTGGCAAACCGGTTTCTTCCTAAAATTTAAAATAAAGTCATAATTTAAAGTATTTAAAAAAATCACTTACTTGATAGAGAAACATCATATTGTTGGACCAACAATCTCCTTGCGCAATAATAAAATACTCATCATATTCACGAAATATATTTTTCATATAATTGACTAATTTCTGATCTAAATTTGTACAACGTTCCATGATTTCTTTATCCAAAATTGGATCAAAACTATCCGTAAGTTGTTTAACACATTTTTCAATCATATCATACATTCCAAATTCCAAAAAATAGTTACCTAATATATCTCTAGGACCAGAAGTTAATTTTATATATGTTTCAGATTGTTGATCTTTCATGGCATAATTAACAGCGTGATATTTAGCAAATGCTTTTATAGGTAAAATTAAATGCGCATCATCAATAGGTTTCTTTCGATCTCTTAAAGTGTACCCTAAACTCCTTAAATTTTCCAAAACAATTGGTGGAGTTTCACCATTTCTCATTTTCGTGTTAAAATGTTTCGGTACATTGTTAAATGGTTCTTTAATATTTTTACTATTTTCGAATTCATTAAAAGCCGGGTAGATTTCCGCGTAAAAGTTATATTCTGTATAGAAAGCTTCAATAAAAGCAGTCTTCCATTTCAACATCACATCATCCGGTAAGTATTTAACGAAAAGTTTGATGTCTTTTCCAAAATCATTTTTAATAGAAATTGCGTAAGTTTTTGAAACATAACCGTCACCATCTTGAGAGCCTCGCGAAACTGATATTTCTGAAGGATTCTTAATATTTTCACTTTTAACAACTTGATTAATTATGTCTTCGACAATATCGGGTTTTTCAATTTTCATTTTATTATTAATTTATTTTTTTGTTCAATTATGTTTTGAGCGGTATCGGTTATTTCAAGTTTCATTTTTAGTTTTGTCTAATAAATATTAAAGTGCTCTTTATACTACGAGATAAGTCGTGAGAGTTCGTTTAAGTAATGTTTTTGTAAGTGGAAAAGTGGGGAGTTATCAACGTAATATCGCAAATTACATTTCATTTTAGTTATCTAATGTTGTTGTAGTAATTTGTTCCTTTCATTGTTTGGTTTTTCATTCCAGACGATAACTACGTCAAACATATCTACACAAAAAAATCTAAAATGTACCAGATTACGTACAATTGTATCTAAACGTAATATAATTTAAGATAATGATAACCCCCACTTTTTTACTTAATAAATCTTTATAAGTTTACTCTCACATTTTCTGCGTTTAGTATAAATTATTTATCGATAATCAATACATTATATTTATTAATTAAAATTGATTTACTCAAAATGGAAATTGAAATAACCGATACAATTCAAAATATAATCGATGAAATAGTTGGTCGCGAAAATTTTAAAAGTCCCCCAGAAATATTAGTTTCGCAAGGATCTCAAGAAGGTGACGGTTATTGTTCGAAAACTTACGCTATTTCGATTAATGATAATGGTGATAATAAAAAATCGATAAATCTTTTTGTGAAATGTTTCCCGGAATTTCAAAACGCCGGTTGGAAATCAATGATGGAAATTGGTTTTAAATCGGAATATAATTTTTATCACGAAGTGTGGCCGGTGTTTATGAAATTTCAAGATGCTAAAAATTTAAAAGAACCGTTTAACAACGTTGCTAAATCGTACAGTTTTCAATCTGGGAGTGTTATAAAACCGATTGTTTTGGAGAATTTGAGATCGTTGGGATACACTTTGAGAGATCGAAAAAAACCGGTTGATGATGTCCATTTGAGACTACCCATACAAGCTTTCGCAAGATATCACGCAATTTCTTATGCTTTCAAAGACCAAGAACCTGAAAATTTTAAAAAATTAACTTCGAGTATGTCTGATGTTTTTAGCGATAATTTTGAGATGATTGGTATGGATGGTATAATACGAAAAAGTGTTAAACAGGTTATTGAAGGTTTAGATCCTGTTTTGGATGAGAAAATATTGCAGCGTTGTGAAGGTTTAGACGATAAAATAATCAAATTTGTTGCTAATTTGGATAAAATGGTTGATGAATATTCTGTAATTGGTCAAGGTGATTGTTGGTCAAATAATATGATGTTTCTTTATAACGTAAGTAAAACAACTTACTCAAATAAAAAATAATTTTTTTTTATTAATTCCAGGAAAAAGGTGTTCCAATAGACGTAAAATTAGTTGATTGGCAAGCACAAAGACTTAGTTCACCCCTTTTGGATTTCTGCTATTTCTTTTATACTTTAGCAACAAAATCTGAACTTGACAACGCGGAGACATACATTAATTTATATTATAATACACTTAGTGAAAGAATTAATGAATTGGGAAGTGATCCGAAAAAATTGTTTCCCTACGAAATATTCCGGGAGCAATGGAAAAAATTTTCTTTATTCGGAATAATGACCGGTTTACTTGTTATAAAAGCACAGTTATTTGACAAAGATGAAATACCTAATCTTACGGGACATGATAACATAGATACATTTACAGTCGTTTTGAAAAATCAAGATAAATTTGTAAATAGAATGAAAGATATTATTCAGTATTTTATCGATAATGACTTGTTATAAATAAAGATTTGCAAAATGTTGAGTAATTGTGGTATTTTTCCTTAACTAAAGTGTTCCAACTATTAGATAATATAGTTTTATCAATATTTTATCAGATAAAAACAAAAACTAAGTTTTTTTTTCTCAAAAACTTAATTTGTTTGTTATTTTCATCAGTAATAAAATGTAAATAAACTTGGCAGATAACAAAACAAGAAACTAATCAAGTCAATAGACATAAAAATAGACATAGGGCCGGTTGTACTACCTCCCGATAAACTATCTAACGGATAATTACCATAGATACAGCGGTTTTAAGTGCTCTCATTGGCTAAGGCTCGTTAGTACCATCTTCTGGTTAAGCTATCTATGGGATTATTGCTATGGATACGGCTATTTTACGCGTTCTGATTGGCTAGTAGATGGGTTTATCTATAAGATAAATTTAACTAAAAGATGGTAGTAATGGACCTAAGTGCGCCAATTTATCTATCGGATAAATTTATCGGGAGTTGGTACAACCGGCCCTTAGTGCAACCCAGGATATAAAGAGAAATAAATACACCAAAAGTAAGATCCAAAGACTTCTGATGTCATAAACAGGCATGAATATTATAGGGATCTAATGAACGAAGAGTACCCAAGCATAAAGTTGGAACCTCTGCCTCCACTCAGGCGACTAAGATGAAAAACTGTGAAGTTGTGGGTACTGATGAGATCTCAGCAGAAGTGTGGAAAAGGCTTGGCCCCATTGGATTGGCTTACAAGACTATTTAATAAAATGCTCGTGATCGTGTCAATACTAGAATCGTGGCACTTTAGCGACTTAGTCCCCTATTACAAAAATAAGCGTGACGTGCCTCATACCTTCAAAACTTCTGACATTAATTACCCAGAACCAATTTGGATTCATAGTCTCTAAATCAACAACTGATGTTAGATTAGTTAGATCATTAACTGATCATTGCTGCGGAAAGTAGTTTAGCGATCTATTAGATCAGAACATCTACCTGAATGTTACATACATTTAATACAAGATATGTACAGGGTGTCCAAATTTCGGTGGGTTTGCAGGGTATCTCAGTTATTATGAAAGATAGAAAGTTGCGGCTTTCGCGAATCTGAGCTACTTTTTTGTGAATCTTACAATGGCACAAACCAAATTTTCATAGCCCTTTTCATTTTTGATATACAGGGAGTGTTTCAAAATTTACGATTTTCAGACACCTCCTGTATGTTGGCTATCCGGAAACATAAAAACGGGTACTAATAGATTTTTTCACGTAGAATCCAATGGTGCACGTAGAATCTTTCTAGTCATCCCAGTTTTTGAGTTATAAAGAGTTAAGTATTTTAAAAGTTGAGTATTCAGTATTTGAGTTGTGTTTATAACTCAAAAACCGTGATGACTAGAAAAATTCTACGTGCACCATTCGATTCCACGTGAAAAATCTATTAGAACCCGTTTTTACATTTTTACTAAGTTTCCGGATAGCCGAGATACAGGAGGTGTTTGAAAATGGTAAATTTTGAAACACTCCTGTATATCAAAAACGAAGAGAGCTATGAAAATTTGGTTTGCGCCATGGTAAGTTTGACAAAAAAGTAGCTCAGGTTCGCGAAAGCCGCAACTTTCTATCTTTCATAATAACTGAGATACCCTGCAAACCCATCGAAATTTGGACACTCTGTACACTGTGTTAATTAATTATCATAACAAACGTGACCTATGTAATATTGGCTGCATATCTCAATATGTAATGGTAGCTTGGATAATTTTGAATTAGTAACCAGATGTTGACAGCTGATCGTGCGTTATTGTTGTCATTGTCGTACGCTTTGTGAGTTTCGTATAGTCTTTGTTTTTTAACCGTTTTTTGCTGCCTTAATATTTTTCGAAACAGTTCTTTTTAGAACTATCGTTGTTTCCATCGTCGCCATCGTTTTTAGGAACTTTCCTCGCGTTGCAATACCAATCTGTGATATTGGTTGCATACTTTGTCAGGTACGATCATATATATACTATCTCCTATATCGCTGACTAAGGCAGCAAAAGAGTGTAAACACTAGAGTGCAGATATATATATATCTGTCTCTGTCGTGCCCCCGTCTACTCAAGAGACATGCGTGAACACGTGGTGAGTACGCTTTTATCTTATTGGACGGTGAATTAAAAATTAATAGCAGCTGATGACCTTGATGTTAAAAATCACCAAATAAATGTTTGACATAAACTTAACCTAAAATCTAAATATTTAGTTATGTATATTATAGATTTTCATGTGTATAATAACATAATTATTAACATATTTCAAGACTAAGCAATTTAAAATGTAATTATTATTTGTTAAGAAAGTGAAGAAAATTTGTTAAAAGTAAAATAAAAAAGAAAAAGAGTAGGGGAGATATTTTTGGGGCCTAAAAATTGGTTGAGCAGGTAAAAGGAAAGATCTCAGTGTAATAAAAAAGAATTCAAAGCCCTCCTTTTCTTGAAACATTTTTCTTAAAAATTTAATTAATAATTACATCGATATGATGAAAATTTTATGATAGAATATAGAATATTATGTACATTAAATAGTAAGTACCTAAGTACATATTTTATATCTTTAATTAATGTAACAACTTTATTAAAGGGCGTGAGCTCACAAATTATGTTAAAAATTAATAACTATATTTTGGTACACATTTAATAATTACTATGTATATATGTATTAATTTAATTTTAAAAAATATAATGTTTAATGAACAACCTACATAAAGTTGATATTTAAAGCAATAGTCAACGTCAATTTATAATTAAAGTCAATTATCTACAATAATTACATTTCAAAGCTGCATAAAATACGCGCGAAACACTTCAAACTCTTTAAAATTTACGATTCGTGCAAGCGCCTTCGCGACATGGGGGCACGACAAAGACAAAACATATGTCATTCCGTCTGCCTTTGATGGAAACGCTCGCCACTCATTGCTTAGATAGGGAGTCAGCGATATAGGAGATAGTATATATATGGGTACGATAATTAATTAACACACTGTATAAAAATGTTCGTACCAGAGTTAGGTCTCAGGTAGATCTTAGCTAAGAATTTGTAGTGGAATCTGCTGTGATTCGACTTTCCTGGAATCTGCTCTATGCGGATGACATCGTCCTTATCGCCAAAATTCCAACCGAACCTCAAAGCACACTCTCCCTATGAATTAATATTTGTGCGGTACTCAAGGTGAGCAGATCAAAGACGAAGCAATTGAAATGCGGTTTTGGTCAAAGCTCAGCTAGTAAAGCTACCATTTATTACCCTAATGAAACACCAGTCCCAAGCAAATCGCACAATATAAGTATCTGGGATCTGTGATCTCTAATAATGCAGATGTGGAAGCCGACGTGGAGCATAGAGTCGGCGTGGTCTGGCAGAAATGACATTCCTTAAGTTGAGTGCTATACGACCGGAAGATGCTATATGTATGCAACAACTTCATACGACCGGAATCAAACTGTTACGATGGTCGGGAGGAGTGACAAGTCTAGACAGGATTCGGAATAAATATGTTTGCGACAACTTCAAGGTAGCTCCTGTGCTTGAGAAACTTACGGAGAGTTGCCTCAGATGGTATGGCCACGGTATGCACAGAGACGTTATTTTAAGAAAAGTCTCCTGGAAGAAGAGGGCGACTGCCTTCTACTTGATGGACTAGCGTGACCAGGACCTTAAATGAGACAGAATGTTGTGGCGCAGAAATATTAGGCGAGCCACTCTACGGAAAGGGGAATGAGCAAAGAAGATTTTCAAAAAATTGTTATAAATAATGTTTTAATAAATCGTTATAATATCATAACCATTTATAAAGCAACTTATAACCTTTTCAATGAAAGACTATTTTCCAAAATATGTTTTAGTTATTGAGATACCAAAATGGAAATTCAATCAAGTTATTCCACTTATTTAAATTGATAAGATAAGCATCAATATAAACATTTTGATATACAACAATTAACTTATCGTCATTGCACAAAATATTTACAGTTTTCATCTTAGTTTTCATCATACTTTTTTTATCATTAAACCCCAATTGTTTCAAAAAGATAAAATTCCAAATAAATCCCAGACAAAGAAATAACATCGTATATACAGAGCGGAATAAAAGTTTAGATAACGTCGAACTCAATTCAAATTGGCTTGAAATAGGTTTCTCAATAAATTTTGTTTCTAATATTTCATACCTCTTGCCTGTTAAATTTCTTCCTATAAAGATAGATCCAATTAAATGAGTTCCGCCTATACACAGGATTAAGATGGGTACGGTATACATAGGCTATTCTAATTGAAAATCCAAAGTGTCAAGTCGTTTCCAGACTTTTGTTCCACACTGTATAAAACAAGGGTAATTATAATGAACTGAATAGTACAATAAAAAATGATTAACAAAAAAATGTATCTGTATAAATAAACCAAATCAACTACATGAAAATACATAAAAAGATAGCTAAAATGAGATTTAATTTACGATAATATTTTGATAAGTCCCCACTTTCTACTTTTCAAAACACTACTTAAATGAGCACCCATAACTTTTCTCCTAGTATAAAGAGTTCTTTAATAACTATTTAACAAAAAAATAAATTAATAATAAAATGAAAATTGAAAAACCCGATATTGTCGAAGACATAATTAATCAAGTTGTTAAAAGTGAAAATATTAAGAATCCAACAGAAATATCAGTTTCGCGAGGCTCTCAAGATGGTGACGGTTACGCTTCGAAAACTTACGCGATTTCTATTAAAAATGATTTTGGAAAAGACATCAAACTTTTCGTTAAATACTTACCGGAGGATATAAAATTAGAATGGAAGAATGCTTTTTTTGAAGCTTTCTATACAGAGAATAGCTTTTACGCGGAAATTTACCCATCTTTTAATCAATTCGAAAAAAGTAAAAATATTAAAGAACCATTTAACAACGTACCGAAACATTTCAACACGAAAGTGAGAAATGGTGAAACTCCACCAATTGTTTTGGAAGATTTAAGAAGTTTAGGGTACACTTTAAGAGATCGAAAGAAACCAATTGATGATGCGCATTTAATTTTACCTATAAAAGCATTTGCTAAGTATCACGCTATTAATTATGCAATGAAAGATCAACTACCTGAAGTATATAAAAAATTAGCTACTTATCCCAAAGATATGTTAGGTAAAAATTTTGTGGCATTTGAAATGGACGTAATGATTAAAAGATGTGTTGATCAAGTTACGGGCAGTTTTAATCCCGTTTTGGATAAAGAAATCATGAAACATTGTGCAAATTTAAATGAGAGATTAATCGATTATATGATGAATATATTAAGTGATTATGATGAGTATTTTATTATCACGCAAGAAGATTGTTGGTCCAACAATATGATGTTTCGCTATCAAGTAAGTAATTTTTTTAAATACTAGTTTAAATTACAAATTGATTTTAAATTTTAGGAAGAAACCGGTTTACCAATTGACGTAAAATTAATAGATTGGCAATTTCAAAAGATTGCATCACCACTTTTCGATTTTTCTTATTTCTTTTACACATTAGCTACGAAAAAAGAACTTGATAACGCCGAATATTACTTGAAACTTTATTACGACACTTTATCGCAACGAATAGCCGAATTAGGAAGTGATCCAGAGAAACTTTATCCTTATCATATATTTAGAGATCATTGGAGAAAATATTCAAAGTTTGGATTGTGTATGGCTTTTTTTATCGTTAAAGCCCAATTGTTTGAAAAAGATGAAATTCCAAATGTGTTAAATCCGGATAAGATAAGTCCAACAGATGCTTTTTCCGTCGTATTAAAAAGCCAAGATGTTTTTGTTAAAAGATTGAAAGACCTTTTAGAGTATTTTATATGCCACGAGTTATTATAACTTAATTTTTAATAAACAATGCGCTAACAAAAATAGTCGTTTTATATAGATTCATTAGCATAGATTAAAATTATGAGAAATATGATGAAATCGCAAATGATTTCTTCATAATTCGATATTTTTTATTTGGTACATCAATTATCGCAAAAACTTATTTAAAAAATATATTATAAATTATATTATATTATAAATTTATTATAAACAAACAACAGAAAAAACAAAAAATGATTAATTGTACCACTCTAAAGAATCAACACAATGAAGATCAAAGTATTTATTATAGAGCTATAACATTCCAAGGCAACATATCCAATAAAATAAAACAGAGTTTAAAACAATATAATATAAATCTTAATTTCAAACCAAATAAAACATTAGAAAGAATGCTTATAAACAATAAGGACAAAATAAATAAACTGGACGACAATGGTGTGTACATACTAGAGTGCGACACTTGTAAAGCAGCGTACATTGGAGAAACAGGCAGAAGCCTTAGAAAAAGAATAAGAGAACATAAACACAAAAATAACTCCAACTTCGGAAATCACTTACACTAACATCATCACTAACACTAATCACTAACATTTAACTCAAAACATGAATTTAACGAGGATAAAAATTCCAGAATCCTTCATCATATCAATAAAAGTTACTATTTAGAAATAATGGAAAACTATGAAATTAATAAATTCCTCAACAACTGCCCTGATGTAACATGCCTAAACGAACAAATTATACTTACAAGAAGACCACTATATACCTATCTCAAACAACCATACACACCTCCACGAAAACCTCCCGAACTCTAAAAATAGCTGCTCTCTCTGTACCATTATATTTTTCAGTGTGTTTGATGTAGGGAGTTAATATGTTTATGTTGTAATACCTCATTTTAACCTGTTGAAAATCAACCTATTCAAAACAAGAAAGTTTAAATTCAATACACGACAATCACATTTGACAGATTACCAACATTAAAATAGAAAATATACCATTGACAGTTTCAACATAACCTAAAATATAATAAAAAGTGATGTATGATAGATGATAGCACATGTTTAGAGATTAACATTTTAATAGTGAATTAATTCAATAAAGTATCACATACATGTTTAGTTGTTCAAAAAATTGACGTAAGTTAAAATGTAAAATTATATAATAATAGAAAGTGTTGTAAAATTAATAACTTTAGGAACTCCTGTAGATGCTCCGAAAGGAGCGAAACCGGTAGAGTGATAATAAACACATTTCACCTTTAAGTGCAAAATTTGTTTAATTGAATTATTTAAAAAAGGTGAAACATATTGTTTAGTGTTTTATCGATAATAAATTGTTGAACATAAAACGTATTAATTGATTTCATTGGTATATTTTTATATTACATCTGTAGAATCTACGTTTTAGATCAGTAATTACGATTTATTAAAAATTACTTATCATCCTAGTCATTCATACAAGTACAATGAAAATTGTAATATCATAGTATTACGTCATTCTGGGTAATTATTATGTTTTAAAATCTTTCCTCTAAAACCATTACTCAGCGTTTTTTAAGAGATCCCAAGTTATTATGAGTACCATTATTCGGTTTTATAACCTAACTGCTACTTCGCGCTTGGTCGCCCTAAAGTCTCGCACTCAATTGAATATGAGTTTTTTTTTTGGTTCCTTTCATAACTTTGTTTGAGCTATTCGTTGAACTTAACAATACCCTATAAGTCCCTAGTAAATTTTGTTCTTAAAATTTGGCGATATCACACACAGTTTGCAGGGAGTTTTAGTGGAGATATTGCAGGAATTGTTAGCAACCTAGCATTAACAGCTTTAACTTGTCTTTGTTTCGATTAGCTTGCTTTAATTAGTTCTTTGATTATGGAGATTATCAAGTCGGCAAAGAATTAGTGATAGAGTAATTGGCGTATTTTTAATCTGAGCTAACTTTACTCTACTTAGGGCAGGTTGTACAATATACCGATAAACTTCCTGATAGTGTTATCTGGCTTAAGTTAGTTTCTACTGTATTACAATGTACGGATATTTTTGTTGGCGAGATTATCGCAGGATAACCAGGGTACTCAGCGGTGCCGATAAGACAGTTATCCGCCAGATATATGTGGTTACCAAGGATTTTATATAAAAATTTTGTATAATTACTGCACAGGTTAAAATCTAACATCCTATACGTACATTGTGTCAGTTGTGTGTTGAAAAAAAAATTTTAAACAATTGTTATTAGCTCTAAATCACAGTTCAAATTTCAAAGAAGGACATTAACGCTACCAACCTATGGCACAAATTACTAGATATGGGGGGGAAGAAGAACCTGTATGGAATCCAAAGGTAGAGGACTGGAGGCTAGTTAATCTTGTGGTGACTGAAATCAGAGTTGGGTGGGCCATACAGTCCTTCTGGATGGTATTCTACCTGCGCTACTACAGTGGTGTATGGCGGAATTACTGCCACACCTACTAATAATATACAAAAGTTGCTTAGCATTCCGCTATGTTCCCTTAGCCTGGAGAGAAGTAAAGGTAGTCTTCATCCCCAACTCGGGGAGGAGATATTACACTGATCCAAAATCATGTAGACCAATCAGTCTTTCCTCATTCATCGGGAAGGCATTTGAAAGGCTATGTGGAAAGATATATAAGAGAAACGACCTGGAAAGGTTTCCCCTGCACCCAAACCAGCATGGATACACTGCGAAGATCAACAGAAACGGCCCTACAAGAAATCGTAAGAGTTATCGATAGATCTTTGGACTATAAAGAGTCCACTCTCGGAGTGTTTATAGATATCGAAGGAGCCTTTAAGCTTTTCATACAATTAATAAAGCCCTTAGAGACAAAGGAGTCCAGCCTGCACTAACGGACTGGATTCTAAATATGCTCTCAATGACCGTCCATAGTGTAATTGATGCTAATAACAATAATAATAACGACAATAAAATAAGCGCGATCGTTGAACGAGGATCCGCAGGGTGGGGTTCTATCACCACTGCTGTGGAATCTCACCCTAGACAACTTTGTAAGACAACTTTTTGCTGAAAAATTCAATATCTGCGCTTACGCAGACGATCTAGCCGTTTTGGTTTCACGGGAAGTTCGAAAATATCCTATGTGACCGAATTATGAATGTGACCAATTCTCTGTCGGTAAACCCGAATAAAACAGAGATGGTCCTCTTCACAAGGAAAAGAAAGCTGGGTACCCTTAGAGCGCCCTGGCTTTGCAAAATTCCCTTGCGCTTTGCCAATGAAGTGAAGTATCTGGGGTTAACTCTGGATAAAACGCTGAGTTGGAGACGGCACATCGAAGGTAAGATAAATAAGGCATTGCGTTCGCTCAGTGCAAAAGGGCCGTTGGGACCGCCTGGGGTTTAACACCTTAAATATCCCTGTGGATATACACTGCAATGATACGTCCAATGTTAACTTACGGCGCCGTAAACTGGTGCCAAGAGTTAGAAATAAAACGATTGTTTCGCAACTACAAAAATTGCAACGTGTGTCTTGTCTCTACGTTACAGGCTCGATGATAACCACACCAACATCAGCAATGGAGAATGTACTGTGCCTTCCTCCTCTCAATTATCATGTTGAGAAGGTGGTTAACTATAAATGGCTTCAGAAGTGGGAATATTTTTCAATTTAAATTTATTTAATTGTTAGATTGCAGACCGATAACCATCGTGGGCCGCCTTCAATTTTATAACACTCTTGACCAGGTTGACTTTGGCTTTATTGACGACAATAATTTGTATATAAACGAAAAATTTTCCTTATTTATAAACCACATTGTCACTGCCCTGCATTTGTATTTCTACACTACGTGACGTATATACAGGGTGTTTCGGTGACTCGGGGAACAAATGTAACCACATGTACTAGAGTGAAAATGATGACGATTCATGTAAAAAAATTAGTAAAAGTCCTCAATTTGCAAAGATACAGGCCATCAAAGTTAAGAAATTTTAATACATTTTTCTAAATATCTTAAACACTATTTATGGTAAAGCGTTGAAATTTGGTACAGTGTAAACTAATATCACGTAAAATCATTAGGCAATTTTTGAGCTGGATCGGTACGCGGGAACAATGCTATACAGGCTGTTCCTAAAGTTTGTTTGCTCAGAACTTTTTTATTCTATCATAACACTACATTTATTTTTGCAGTTTCTAAGAGCAATTTTAGTTTAGAAACTTTTATCACTCTTAGAGAATATTGATAGAAACCACCGTTTTCGTATTAAATGCAAAAATGTTAGGCTCCAAATTCAATAACACTAAAAGAAAAAAATAAATAAATAATCTGAATTGGCAATGACAAGTGAAAATCGAACTGAACTGTCATAACTATTATGTATGCAACATGTCCAAGTGTAAATTTAGCTAAATCACATTTTTAATTTGTTTTAGTCGGTTTAATAAAAGAATCCATAAACAATCAATTAAAAATAAACAAAAAAACGACAACACTAACAGGAATAATAAAAAAAGTACACAAAATAACAAGACAAGTAATAAAAAATACCAAAGGAAATGTTCAAAAAGTTAGATTTCTTTTTTTTTAGTGCTATTATGGAAATCGGAACCCAACATTTTTATATTTAACACGAAAACGGTGATTTTTACCAATATTATCTAAGAGTAATAAAAGTTTCTAAACTAAATTTACTATCAGAAACTGCAAAAATAAATGTAGGGTTATGATAGAATGAAAAAGTTCTGAGCAAACAAACTTTAGGAACAGCCTGTATAGCATTGTTCCCGCTGACCGATCCAAATCATAAATTGCCTAACGATTTTACATTACATTGAATTATACTGTACCAAATTTCAGCGTTCTACTGTAAATAGTGTTTAAGATATTTGGAAAAATGTGTTAAAATTTTCTAACTTTGATGGCCTGTATCTTTGAAATTTTGAGACTTTTACTAATTTTTTTTACTTGAATCGTCGTCATTTTCACTCTAGTATATGTGGTTAAATTTGTTCCCCGAGTCACCGAAACACCCTGTATAACAAAAAAAAATGTAAAGGCGTAAAGGTTGATTTCGAAATAAAATTAAGACAAACTCGTTATCAGTGACGGAATTATTAAATAGTCGAAATGTAGACAGACTTGTTATCAATAAAAACATAAACAGAAAATATTCTATTTATTTATTATCTTATCTTTATAATATTTTTTTTAAAATCACAATAACTTTTGATTTATAAAATATTCAATCAAATCCCGGATTCTTTCATTATATTTATCTTGATTCTTAATTTTTACCCCGAAAAATTCGTCTCCGCTTTCATCCATCATATTTGGAATTTCGTCATTTTCAACTAATTGGGCTTTAATAACACAAAACGCCATAAACAGCCCAAACATAGCGGATTTTCTCCAATGTTCCAAAAAGACATTGTAAGGATACACTTTGTTAGGATCGCTTCCTAACTCTCTGATTCGTTCTGATAAGATGTTGTAATAAAGATTTAAATAATAGTGAGCGTTGTCAAGTTCCTTTTTAGTGGCTAATGTATAAAAGAAGTAATTGAAATCTAAAAGGGGGGAATTAAGGGATTGTCCTTGCCAATCGATTAATTTTATGTCAATGGGTTTTTGAGTTTCATCCTAAAATTCGTAAAATTATGATTAATAATTATTATTGTGGTACACTTACATCGTAAAGAAACATCATATTATTTGACCAACAATCTCCTTGAACAATTACGCCATATTCATCGAGAATGTCTCCAAGTTTTAACGCAAAATTAATCATTTTCTCATCTAAATTTTTGCATTTATCCAACATAGTTTTATCCGAAATAGGATCTAAACTGTCCGAAAATTGTTTCACGCACATCTTTATCATATCAGCCATTCCCATTTTTACAAAATTCTTACCAAAAACATCTTTTACGTGTTCGCTTAATTTTTCAAACATTTTCGGTTCTTGATCTTTTAAGGCAAAGGAAATCGCGTGATATTTAGCAAAAGCTTTAATAGGGATTTTTAAGTGGTCGTCATCAATCGGTTTTTTTCTATCCCTCAATTTGTAGCCTAAAGTTCTTAAATTTTCTAATACAATCGGTGGGAATTGATCATCTTCAACGTCACCCCCATAAAATTTAGGTACATTATTGAAGGGGTCCTCAATTTGTTTGGCTTCTTCAAATCTTTTAAATGCTGGATAAATTTTATTATAAAAGTTGTATTCCGTTTTAAAAAGGTATTCCATAACTTCGGTCCAATTTTCTTTTATAACATCGTGAGTGCATTTTATAAATAAATTTAAAGGTTTTTTACCCTTGATGGAAACTGCATAAGTTTTCGAAGCGTAACCATCCCCCGATTCTGATCCTTGATTAATTTCAATTTCGGGATTTTCATAGTTTTCATTACGAATTATAACGTCGATTATATTTTGAATATAATTTGGTAAAACAACTTTCATTTTGAAACCTTGACTTACGCGACACCAATGACTTCAGGAATATGAACTGGTTACGGTTCAAATATCTAATTTTATTGATTGATAAGAATAAAGTTTTATTGAAACGTTATCTATTAAATGAAAAGTCATTATAGTTAGATAAATTAATCTAAAATGATTTGTGGAATTAATGCAGTTTACGTAATAAAATAATGTTGGAAAATTCCTAAAACGATTGAAGAGAGATGACTTTTATAACTCAAAAATACAATAGTCTCTCACAATGATAACCACAAAACTTTATTTGTTCAAGTTAAGCAATTTTACGTTTCTTATTTGACGCAGCTATGAATAGTACAAAAATTTAATTTATGAAAATTGAACTTGATAACAAACGGATATAATAGATATAGTCCCCACTTCTATGTGGATATAGTATATAACTAGTTGCAACACAAGATGCATAAAAATACTTAATCAAAATGAAAGATCGCGAAGTTGTTCAAAGTGTTTTAGATTCCATCAACCAAGAAAATAATAAAAATCCCCCCGAAATTGAAATAACTCGAGGATCACAAGAAGGTGATGGTTACGTATCAGAAACTTACGCTATATCTATCAAAAACCATAAAGGTGAAGTAACAAATCTATTTGTTAAATCTTTACCTGACGATATAAAATCTTGGAAAGAAGCGTTTGTTGAAGCCTTTAACACGGAGTACAATTTTTATACGGAAATTTACCCCATTCTTGATCAATTCCAAAGAAACAAAAATGTTCAAGATCCATTTAACAATGTGCCAAAACATTTTTCCACAAAAATTAAGAACAATCAAACCCCACCGATTGTGTTGGAAAATTTAAAAAGTTTAGGATACGTTTTAAGAGATCGAAAGAAACCCATTGATGACGCCCACTTAGAATTATCCATAAAAGCATTGGCAAGATACCATGCAATTAACTACGCCATGAAAGATCAACAACCAGAAAAATACAAGAAACTAACAATTGGTGTAGGTGATGTTTTCGGAAAATACTTGATAAAATTTGGAATGGAGGATACAATAAAGAAATGCGTCGATCAACTCATTAAAGGTTTTGATCCTGTTATGGATAAAATTATTCTGGATCATTTAGATAATTTAACTGAAAGATTAATTGATTATCTCACAAAAATTTTTCTCGATTGCGACGAACATTTCATTATGGGACAAGGAGATTGTTGGTCGAATAACATGATGTTTCTTTATAATGTAAATGTTCGATCGTTTCATATTTAATTTTAATTTTAAATTGTTTTAGGATCAAACCAAACCAATCGATGTGAAAATAATAGACTGGCAATGTCAAAGAATTTCATCCCCTCTTTTCGATTTTTCTTACTTTTTCTACACATTAGCGACGAAAAAAGAACTCGATAACGCCGAACATTATTTGAATCTTTATTACGATACATTATCGCAAAGAATTACCGAATTAGGAAGTAACCCACAAAAAGTTTTTAATTATCAAATATTTCGAGAACATTACAGGAAATATTCACTGTTTGGATTGTGTATGGGTTTTATTAATGTTAAAGCTCAATTATTTGAAGAAGGTGAAGTTCCAAATATGTTAAATCCCGGAGGAGATGTAAACCCGTTAGAAGCTTTTTCAGGTATTTTAAGAAATCAAGATGTTTATGTTAAAAGAATGAGGGATTTAATTGAATATTTTATAAATCAAGATTTATTGTAATAAGTATTGATAAAATTAATTGTATAAGTGTTTATATTGTATTTCGAATTAAAATATATCAATTATTAAAAAACATTATGAAGAAATTGTGAAATACAATTCTGAACGACCAAAAATTTTTTTTTTAATTCCGGAACAAGCGACGCACAGTGGTCCGAGCGGTAAGAAAACCCGATCGAAAATATCATTTTGGTGTTAGCAATTAGCTAGCTTTATGAAACTTGGCATATGATTATAAGACCAAAAGGGTAATGTTGTGTCAAAATTTGAATTAAATTCGTCAACCGAAAGTAGTACTACGCAAGCAGTACTTTATTTAAATTCATACTCATTTTCTTTTCATATAAATTAGGACTTTAAAGAAGAATATTACTATAAAATTTTGTGCAAAACATTAGACGTATATTACTTCACATTTTTTTGTGTAATTACGTGATCGCAAATTCCTATCTAAATTGTTTTATAGAGGACCTATACCGGATGTCTCACGTAACTGGTTCGTTAGAACTTTTTTAGGTACCACTATTCGTAGCGGTTTGAAATTTTGACAACATGGATTGTTCATTCGAAGCTTTCGATCTAAAATACTTTCAAGATGGCCGCCACTTCCGGTCTACCGGATGTAGACCACAACTTCGTTATTTTAAATGGAATGCTATAGTTTTTAATGCACCTTTTAATTATATTCGACAAAATAAGTTGACTTTGATAAAAGTTATTGGTACCTACCATTTTTCGTTTTCGAGTTATTTTGTTTTTAAGTTTTTCTTTGGCAAATTACTTTATGCTCTTTAAAACCTTATATCTCAGCCAACGTTCATTCAAAAAAGCTCTAAATTGGCACGATTACTCTTGAGATGTTGTCAAACAGATTGTCATTTGTTGTATTAAAGTATCTTATACAGGGTGGTCAAAAATTGAATTATCGTTTCTCCATATTCAATGGTAAGAAAGTCGAAAATTTTAAATGGAACGCCCCATATTTTTTTACCCTATCAGAAATGGAATTTGATAAAAATGTGGCAAAATTAATTGGCAGAATTAGTTGGTTAGATAGCTCAATTTTACTTAGCTTTTACTAAAAATGTTTTAAGAACTATTCGAGAATAAACTCATCGCTCTTAATTTGAAGTGATATTGGAGACCATAATACGTAAGTTTGAAGCCTACTTATAGTAGAATTTTCCCATGATACTGAGATAGTCCACATACATTTCAAATTATTCGAGATAATATAAAATATTTTGTTATATTCACCAACATAACAAAATTTATCTCAATTTGTGTGAGTCTTCTTCATTTTCTAGATCTTGTTCCTCTATATTTACTTCTTCATCATTATTGTCTTCTTCTTCACTTTCTTCATCATCATCATCTTCTTCTTTACCTTCCTTTTCTTCTAGAGATTTGTCCAGTATAAGTAAATTTTTCATGTCTTCATTCATATTTTTATATCTTTCTGAACATTCTTTATAAAAGTTACTAATAAATGGATCGGAGCTCAGTAATAGTCTTTTAAATAAATCTTCATTTGTTTGAAGTCTACCACATTTTCTTGTGTGACACTCTCTAAATCTGCGTACTTGTTTGTTTTTTGCTTCTTGATAAATAAGATCCACAATTATGTGTTAAGTAATCTTTGACTGCCAATTTTTTGGTTAAGGCGCACGTTGGCGCAAGATTTCTTTCTTATGCTATGTACACCATACCTTCAGCAATAAAAAAATGTTAGCTACAATTGTTCGATTTTGTTCGCTCGCAAGATATTTAATTTAAAAGATTGAATGGTCAAAAAATATAAGTATTTATTGACGTCAATAGAAATGGTTGTAATTTTTTTCAACAAACATCTTTTGAAATTTGGAAAGTCGTAAAATGAAGACCTTTCTGTACTTTATAAGAAACCAACGACACAATATTTTCAAGTAGTGATATACCATCTTTTTTGTTTTCTAAAGTTGTGTCGTTTTCTAAAAAATTTCCTTATACAAAATAAGGTAATTGTAATAGCAATTTATTTCGCGCAGTAGCTATTATAAAACACCAAAGACTTCATAAACTTCACTAAGAGTCTATTAATAGTTAAAATATATGTAACATTTAAAAAAACAACACTATAAATTTTCTTTTTAATTGATTTTCGATCGGGTTTTGAGTGTTTTCGGACCACTGTGCGACGTGGTCAAGTCTAATCAAACGTGTGACTCAGGAATACGAAGTAAAATTAATGGCAAACTACATAACCAAAAAAAAATTAATAAGACGTTATGAAGTGATATTATGAGCAATATCTCTCAATTATCTTTCGTATTGCAGATAAATGACTTGTTAACTAAATTAACACAAATAAATCTAAAGAAAATAACAACACTTAGCTTAGTTTGTTGGTTGTAGGATAAATAAGTCCACGGTACGAGTTCTGGGATTGTCAGAAACGGGAAGCAAATTGATGTTTCTTCATCAGGGTTGTAGGATAAAAAAGTTCACAGTACAGGATTCTCGGATTCTCAGGAACGGGGACCAAAGTGATGTTTCTTCATTAGGGTTATTATTTTTTTCTTTTTTTTCAATCGTAAAAATTCTTGAAATTACCTTTTTTGAGGTTATGTCAACATTTATCTTTTTACATAACCTAAAACGTTGCTTATAATGTTCGACGAGACAAAATTTGCGTGTGCTCTCTCTCAAGTTCAAAATCACACTAAAATTTTTAATTTTCGTTTCTTTAATGTTGACATTGAAAAATAGTGTTTCCTGATTGGTCAATTCCATTAACTTGAAATTCGTTTTTTAAATTTTTTGATATTACCAACTTTAACATTTGAAATGTCACTAATTTAATTTGATTAAATATTATTAAAATTTTTTTAATAACTATATTTATGTGTGAAATCTCGTAGTTTTAATGCTTTTTTAAATTGATTTTCAGATATTTGATCATTTTCTTCTGTATTTAACGGCAAAATTACCAAAATTCTTAAATGTTGAGATTGTGGATTTTCAACTAAAATTTCATTAATTCTCCCAAAGAACGGCTGTTTATCATTCTTACTATGCTAAGATTATCATTTTCAATAGCTTCAACCGGATAAATAAGGATTTGAATAAGAAATTGAGAAAAAATTAAATTGAGGTTATTTATCTGTCAGAGGGTCTTTAAAATTACTTTGTATCGATTTTACATGGGTTTTATACAATAGAAAACATCAACGGCCAATAATACATAACGGAATTCATCAGTAAATTATGTTTTATATTATAAAAATAAATTCATTATTATTATCATTCATAACATTCTCTTACATTCAATGCGATAAGTCTTTAGATCCTCAAAATAATGTTTTATGATTGGTTATATTATTACAATACTTTTCACTCAAGCTTTCATGCAATATAGCAGATCTTCCTGGAGGTCCGTTTGTTCCAAGAGAATCTATACTTGACTATTTTTTTGTTTTTGTATCTTTTTATGGCATCCTTTATGGCCCCTGTTCCCATAAAACTATGTACTATTCGAAAACCATGGACACAAAGACGTTTTCATATTTGTACCTATGTACCTTGTATCTATGACAATTATTCTATATAAAATGATGATTTTTCTACCCACATTATTTATTAAAAATTGAGTTACAATAACTTGTTATATACAAAATACTTCAAAAGGTCTTTTAACCTCTTAAGATAAAGATCTTGGTTTTTTATTACCATACAAAAAGCGTCTGCTGAATTTATTTCCGTATTTAACACATTTGGAACTTCATCTTTTTCAAATAACTGGAATTTAACAATAAAAAAAGCCATACACAATCCATACTTTGAATATTTTCTGCAATGATCTTTAAATATATGATAAGGATAAAGTTTCTCTGGATCACTTCCTAATTCGGCGATTCGTTGCGATAAAGTGTCGTAATAAAGCTTTATGTAATGTTCGGCGTTGTCAAGTTCTTTTTTCGTGGCCAATGTGTAAAAGAAATAAGAAAAATCGAAAAGTGGTGATGCAATCCTTTTACATTGCCAATCTATTAATTTTACGTCGATTGGTAAACCGGTTTCTTCCTAAAATTTAAAATAAAGTTATAATTTAAAGTGTTTAAAAATAGTATATTATTATATGAGCATATAATGAGGGCTATTATTCACGAAGGTTAAGTTTATGTCACGAGCTTAGCGAGTGGCATAATTAACCTGAGTTAATAATAATAATAACCTGAGTAAATAAATTTTTGAATAAAGGTTAAACGTCAATGTGACACAAATTCAATGTTACGTGTTGTGTGAACCTTCCTCGCATTCAACCAATCACGTGCAAGGACAATCTGGTGACAAATTTAAAATACTCCTCCTGGTTTAAAAACAGAGTATAATTGCCAAAGAAAACTTCAAGGTATAATTAATGTTTGTAAACAAAACTAACCTTACCTAACATTCCTTCACGCTATAATTGACATTACAAAAGAAAACTTCACGCTATAATTGCCATTACTAATTGCCAAAGAATACTTCATGGTATAATTAATGTTTGTAAACAAAACTAACCTTACCTAACATTCAGCGTCTGAAGACACAGGGCTAAACCCGAAACTTAAAAATATACAACTTAGCGCTGAATAACAATTAAAACTAGAACTAACACTTGGACTAGAACTATACTCTGTTTTTAAACTAGGAGGAGTAAACGCGAAAGTCAGATTCACACTGGAAAAAATCACCAGAAAATATCACTAGATATTTTGGCGGTAAATTTAAATTATTATTTATTTATTTACTTATTATTGTTTGAGGGGGTGAGGGTGCGGCGAATCCTAGGTAGGCTTGTCCTACTTGTTTTGCCGTACTCAGGGTTCTTGTCTTATGACCTGAATCAAGACCGACACTGCAGTTTTTACTGCTCCTTCACGTGGTGCCCCTGTACCATACCAAAAGTGTCGGATCTAGACTTGCCAGTCGATAAACAGGCCTCCCGCCCGGCTGTCGTCGCGTGGCTTAGGGCTTGCACGGGAGAAAACGTGGCCGGGGACAACTGATATAGTCGAAACCGTTATACCATGCATGCCTATTGTTTGTGGACCTGTTCCACGGGCAGGGCATGCGGGGGATCTTGGCTTAATTGCCTGGGTCAAGAGGAGACAACCTCATTAAAAACCCCAAAGTGAATGTGGAACAGCTTATGCAGAGCACTTTAGGCTGTCATCTGACGGTCTAGTCATCTGGGAAGTGATGGCTGCTAATAAGCGGACTCTGGAGACCTGCCGCCCTTCAGTTTCAATAGGCTTATCGGGGTATGGGAGCACTGCCGCGATGGACTACCCTTTCTGCCCTACTCGTGGGATTAGTATGGAGACGCCCAGTAATAGTAAAACCCTAGACGAGGGGGGGATAAACCTCGATCCTGAAAAGGAATCCAAAAAGATGGAGGATAGTCCTCCATCACAATCTACACTTGTGGTAGCCGGACCGTCCGCACCCAAGTCAAGTTCTCCCTCTCTGGAAGAGGAGCAGGTTCTTCTGCACTCTGAAGGGGAGGAAGATGAGGAGGAGATACAATAGATCCTTAGGGTCGCGGTGCAAGGTTGGTTGGTCCGCCTACCCGATATGTATTCTATGTAATGTAATGTAATGTAATGTAATGTATTATTGTATTTATTTTCGTTTGTTATCGTCAACACTATACATACAAATTAACATTGAAGTTATGAGTGTATTTATTTCAAAATATAATAAAAAAGGGTTTCAGAACACAAAATATACAATAATGACACGAAACTGTCGAATTATCAATTACCTAACCTTCAAATTCAAAATCAAAATTCAAAACTGCTTGTGTGTAAACCTTCCTCGCATTCAACCAATCACGTGCAAGGTCAATCTGGTGACAAATTTAAAATACTCCTCCTGGTTTAAAAACAGAGTATAACTGTAACAAACTTCACAACAATTTGTCAAAATTAAATGTCAGTTTTATAAAACGTCGTTTTCTTTAGGAAAATTAATTAATTTATGCTTAAATCATACGAAAAAAGGAATTTGTTGAACTCCTAAAAAATTGAATTAAATTCACGTTTTTTGAACTTTTAACGTTTCAAATAATTATTATTAGTCTGGTCAAGATGGCTACCCGTGGATAATGATTATTATTCACCGCTATTATTCACTCCGTGAAAAATGACTACCATTTTGTTTTAGAAAACTCATTCATAAGGTATATATTATACGATTTATAAGGTAGTCGTGGACAAAATTACTTACTTGATAAAGAAACATCATATTGTTGGACCAACAATCTCCTTGCGTGATAATAAAGTACTCGTCATGTTCACGATATACATTCATCATATAATCGATTAATCTCTCATTTAAATTTGCACAATGTTCCATGATTTCTTTATCCGAAACGGGATCAAAACTATCTATAACTTGCTCAGTGCATCGTTTAATCATCGCGTCTATTCCAAATGCCAGAAAATTTTTACCATACAAATCTCTGGGATAAGTAGCTAATTTTTTATATACTTCAGGTTGTTGATCTTTCATTGCATAATTAATAGCGTGATATTTAGCAAATGCTTTTATAGGTAAAATTAAATGCGCATCATCAATAGGTGTCTTTCGATCCCTTAAAGTGTACCCTAAACTTCTTAAATCTTCCAAAATAATTGGTGGAGTTTCACCAATTTCCATTTTAGTGTTAAAATGTTTCGGTACATCGTTAAATGGTTCTTTTATATTTTTATCTTTTTCGAATTGATTAAAAGCTGGGTAAATTTCCACGTAAAATTTATACTCTGTATAGAAAGCATCTAAAAAAGCATTCTTCCATTCTAATTTTATATCCTCCGGTAAGTATTTAACGAAAAGTTTGATGTCTTTTCCAAAATCATTTTTAATAGAAATCGCATAAGTTTTCGAAACGTAACCGTCACCATCTTGAGATCCTCGCGTAACTGATATTTCTGTTGGATTCTTAATATTTTCACTTTTAACAACTTGATTAATTATGGATTCGGCGATAATGGGTATTTCAATTTCAATCATTTTGATCTAAAAGTTATTAAATAACTCTTTATACATACTCATTCAATTCATTACAATTACCTTCAGACTTGCACCATGAGCGACCTACCGCTAAAAATGTTGGCGACTCAAAGAAAAAATCAGTGATTTCTTTTCTAAATTCTAACTCATGACTTCACTTCTATCTACAATCGCACAAGATAACTGGAGCTCTTTGATAACAGTTATGACCTCCGTTTTATTTTTGAAATCCCGAAAAATGCTTCATTTACTACCGTCCCATCCTCGAAGGGTTTCTTATGTTTTGTGAGAACATGAGCAATTTTAATAACGCGATTTTTGCATTTTTTAGTTGTTTGGCTGGTTTAACTCTGTTTCCAAACTACTTAAAGCCTTTTATTTTTCTACTTCTAAACTCGGTCTTCATTGGAATGTTGTTTTCATAGTTTTCATGTAGTGTTTTAGTTTAAGTTTCCACACTTAGGTAATGCAACGGAAGCTCGATAAATGAGACAAACACATTTGTTATTAACCATAGTAAACATTGTAGTATTATGGCGACATCTACGGCAAAATTGTAGAACGCTCACGTGTTAACGAGTGCAACGACGACCAAGGACAGTTAACACACGACCACCAACTTAGAAGCATCACCTAGTTTAAGTGAAATCAAACTATTTTAATCATTTAAGTTGTTTTATGTTATTCAAACAATATAACATAGTTTTTTGAACATTTTTAAATTGTACTTTATTATAATAAATAATAATACCACA